GGTGGTATTACTGGTATTACCTCATTTACCATCTCTCCACCTCTCCACACACCGCTCCTACCCCCATCTCCCCACACACTCAACACGGCAGATGATCTCCAAGCACAAACAAAAACAACTCTTGAGTAAGTAGACTGCTATTTCTTTGCCTCAAAAGACTTGACTACACCATCATTGAGAAAGATATCTCCAGAATGTATGTACATTTTACACCTGAGTGGGGGTGGTCAGAAGTAGTGGAGTGGGAGTTAGAGATGGAAGACAGGAGGTAGAGATGGAAGAAGGGAGGGAATGTGTGGAGGACCCAGTGCTCCCATCCATCCATCCATCCATCCATCCACCTTTCCCTTCCATCTCTCTGTCTTCCCTCTCTCCTCCCCCACACTCTTAGAAAAAAAGGTGCTATCTAGAACCTAAAATTGTTATTTGGCTGTCCCCATAGGAGAACCCTGTGAATAACACATTTTGGTTCCAGGTAGAACCCTCTACATAGAACCCAAAAGAGTTCTACCTGGAACCAAAAAAGGTCTTACCTGGAATTAAAAAGGGTTCTATGGGGACAGCCGAAGAACCCTTTTGGAACCCTTTTTTCTAAGAGTGCACTTCTCTACCTCCTCGGTCTGCAAGTCACACACCTGACCACGCACACGCCGGTGTAAAGCAGAGGCAGCAAGCGAGGCTAGCACACAGACACAAACCATCAGCGGCGTTGTGACTTTCCCTCACAGAGGCAGGGCTTTAGACAAGCTAACCTGAAGTCTCAAGGGGAATGCGCTATTTGAACAATTATGCGACATCACAGCATCGCATGAGTTTTCCCTGCACTATGGTCCTGAACCATTCCTTCTCTTGGGGCAGGCAGGAATGTGTGGCCAAAAAATACATCAAAATACAACGGGAAGAGCCAATGAGGAGAATGATCCATTCTACATGAATTCTGGGATATGTAAGGGAGGACCCTGGCACAGTCAACCCTCCAGGTCCCTACGGACCTAAAGAGACCCATGCAAATACACTATTGCTGCCAATTTGCTAAAAGGACAAATATATTTTGGGACGATATGCTAGCCATTTTGAATCTCGTTACTGTTTAAATACTCTTGATGGGTTGTTGGTAGATATTGATGCCATTGATGTCCACCATTACATTTGAAGCAACTCAAACTTTCCCTGATTGATACCTTTAATACAGATTTGTGTTTTACTGCTTCAGTTATCTTTTTTAATAGATTTTATAGACCTTTTAATGTCAGTTGATTTGATGTTAGAAACGGACTTTGGGCCCAGTTTAAATAAAGATATTTGGGTGTGTTAAACGTTTTCAAAGTAACAAGGGCAAAACAAGGAGAAGAGGAGGGGGTAAGATATAAGATGAGTAAAAACGAACAAAAAACATCCAAAATGAAAACACGTTTTTATTGTCATACACTTTTCATTGAGAGGATGAGTGCAAACAAAAAGCTTCTGATGAATCTACCCGTCACTAAGCCATGGACCATAAGGCATCGATAAATACAAGCTTTTGGAGCTATACTCTACAATACAAGGACTGAATCAGAAAAAGAAACACAGCATAAATGCTTACGTAATATAGGAAGGTATATGGATAAAAATAAATCTGAATGAACAAAAAAATACGACAAAATCACAACACAATTCATAAAGTAAGCCAAAAATCCTGTACACCAAAACTGCTTTAGTGAGTTCACATGGATTATTGGTACCACTTTATAATAACCACATAATAAACCACTTATACTGGATTGGTAAATAGTTTATTCATAATTTATTAATCATTACTCCATTAATAAGATGTTTAATATAGGTCCTTATAAACATTTTACTAATCATTAGTCTATTGTGTGACCTCGTCTAAAGTGTGGGCTATATATACTTTATAAATACTTTGTGTAATTTCTCACAAAAAGATGGACATGCCATTGGTAGACATTCCAGCGGTAGACATTCCAGCAGTACTTGATGCTCCTTAAGGTCTCAAAATAGCCTAGAACATATTAATGGTAAAAGAACACGCACACAACACAGGATGTTAAATGAAATATATCAAACATTTTATTCACAAAAACAACTGTTGCAAGGACTTAACGAAGAGTTAATGAGCTAATGTTGTCAACCTTGCGAACGCAAACTAAAACAGGGAGATGTAGCCTACAAACAACAGCTGGACGGACCGGACAGTTTTTCTCTAGTGGATTTTTATTCCTCCAATACTACTGATATGTGATTGCGGTAGAAATGTTACATGTATGAATTGTAAGTAGAAATGACACATGAATAACCTTAAAATGCTTCCAGTGCTTTAGTCATTTAACCGCACTATTTTCACACATGGCTTTGTTTGGCGCCACCTTTACTGGGCCTTTAAAGGTAGTAAGGTAATGGGATGTATTCAGATATTTGCAAACAGTCCATGGACTGATCTTAATCTCTCGTGGACAGATTCTGAGTGTAAACCGAAGAGTCTGTGACAACGGGATAGCGAGCAGCAATTTCTGACTGAATTACGTGCGATTTTAGTTCTGGGTTAACCGAGATTAGACTTCTCTAAGGAGTGAACGAAATCCACACTTTGGTTTTGGTAGAAAAGTCACGGCCAAGAAACGCTTATGTTAGCACTTTCGGACTAAAAACATTATTTTACTCAGCATAGAGGGTGTCTGAAGATTCACATCACACTATTACAACAGTGTGACTGTTTTGGAATGTCCAATATATTTTCTTAAACATCCTCTGTATTGTGTGATTATTGTTTAACCATTGATATGTTCTAGGGGCCATTTTGAGACCTTAAGGAGCATCAGGTACTGCTGGAATGTCTAGCAATGGCATGTCCATCTTTTTGATAGAAATGATCTTATGACTCATTATTAAATACTTTAAAAGTTGTTTATAAATGTGTGAATAACTAGGTTAATACCATTTACAAATGTGGCAGTAATTATTAATAAATGAATAATAAACAATGTACTAATTCATTATAAATGCTTTATTACGTGGAGTTTATATAAAGTGCTGCCGGAATATTGATTTACAGCAACTGATGATAAAACAAGGTCTACAATCTGTTATGTACACTTGGCACTAAATGTTGAATCGTTTTCTAGTCAGATTCTTGTCGAATTCAGCACAATTGGTTATTCCTCTTCACGATAGGCTATTATAATGTATAAATATAATATTACAATCATTCTCTTAAACATCATTTTTGAACATTTCCTTTTTTACAAAGCCGGCAGTATAACATTATGAACTGTTGTATCCGTATCATTTGACGGCCCTATGCTGACAAAAGATACATCAGAAAATACCGCAGTGATAACATACTTAATATAAAGCTGAAGGAGTCAACTTTTTATCGTAATAACAAGAATAGATCCTTTATAGTCCATTTCATGCACTTAGAAGTTACAAACAGTACAAATATAAATGACCCACGTACAATATCGGAATCCCAGCAATTCCAAAATAGACAGATGTACTCCAAAAAAAAACAGCAGCAAATTGTTTGTATGCATTTCCAACACTGGCGGATGTATCCATGTACTGTATAATATAGTGTAGTAGAAATGGCTTTATACAGGACTGGATTGTCTGCATCTATATAGGACATGGCTGTTCTTACTGAGACACCGCTTTCCATCCATAACGATTTCATTCAGTCTGACTGGGCTCTAGCTAGCTATATTTAAAATATCGCTGTGAAATATATTATACAAATGGCCAGGTCATGGACACAGTCATGTTACTAGAATATACTGTATCATGGTGTCTGTTCAGAAAGTGCTTTGTCAATTATAGGGCTGAAGAATTCCTGAAGTGAATCTATTGTGTCATAATTAATGGAGGTAAATGGTGAGCTTAGCTAGCTATTCATCTGTGATTACCCTCGCCCACTTTAAAACACTAAAGTATACACCTATTTCTCCATGGGCTCAGTAACAGCAATTCTCCAAGGTGTTTAAGCGAGTTCATAGTAGGTACTGTAATGAGATATATTTAAAGTGTCAGCGTTTTCACATTAGAGTGAGAGACTTCTAGTCAGTCAGTGTAGGCCTACTGAATGAACCAACAGCCAAAGGGCACAGTTTGAAAAAAAGGCTGTTGTTCAAACATCTCACATTCTATTCCCTATCTAGTGCACTACTTTTGACCTTAGTAGTGCACCATGTATGGAACAGGATGCCATTTTTGATGCATGCTCAACAGCGTTCACAGGCAATAATCAAAGCACAGGCCAATTGGAGAACAGTTTCGTACCAAGGTCCTGTACCATCATCCAGCCCTACAATTGGCAGGAATGGAGTCATCACATTCAATAGTAAATAATGGACTATAAGATAAAGCTTTGAGACAAACGTAGAAAACACAAACATGTAGACATTCACACATGAGAGACCATGAGGTAACCAGAGATAACACATGACAGCGACAGTTGACATACAAGGGAAATGGCAAGACAATGACTTGTAAATTTTACAATTCGTAAAATAATTACTTTCATTCTAAAAACAATTTCATTCCGAAAAGAAAACACTCAAAAAAAGTCCTGCATTTGTTCAAGAAAATGCATTTTCCGTAGAGAATGAAGTGATTCATGACAAAAAGAACTCTCATTAAAACATGTGACATTGAGAAAAAGACATTCCAAAATAAATAAGCCAACAAACAAACTGAACAGGTCATTTGAGTAATCAAATAAAACATATATTCCATTTGATTAAACAATAACCCAAAAATATGAGTTCAGAGGATGTTGAGAAGTCTAGGTTCAGGGGGTCTTGGTCAACTGCACCTATTCTACACACTACACACACACACACACACACACACACACACACACACTCCATGAGGATACATACTATAGTCTAGACAGTTTTACTCATTGATTTGCATTTGGATTCAGTGCAATCTAAGGGAGTTGTGGTTTTGTGAGTGGTGGGTGTTGTAGTGGTAAACCTTGTTGTTGTTTAGCGCCTATCTCATTTGACATACTCAGCTGACTTCCAGAAGTGCCCTGGGTGGGAAAGGCGACGGTTCCGTTTTGGCAACTTTTCCAGCAGATCCACCAGCTTGGAGAAGCTGGGCCTTTCATCCTGCTCGAACGCCCAGCAAAAGAGCAGGATGTCCTGGACAGAGAGAGACAGAACAGACTCCCCTTTAGAGACCCAGGTAGACACCGGAAACACGGGAGAGAAAGTGTAACTGGACAAATGGATGAATGCCACCAGTGAGAGAACTTCTAGTGTGGAGTGGTTCAGAAAACACAAATAACTCAACAACAGCCAACAGAAAACTCAAAAACATCCCAGACCGCCCAGACAGGTGTACATGATCACTTAGTCTTATTCCAAGAACATTCCAGGAACGAAGATGCTCATTCTGAACACCTGTGAATTGATAAGTATGCAGATCACACCTAAAAACAACCAGGTGGGGTGCGTCGCTCTGTGAAGAAAAACAGTCAACAGTGCAGTATTACAAAGAACACCACTCAGCGATATCACTTTGCCCACGGACATACAATATGTACACCTACAACTAGTGAGCGACTTTTACCTGAAATGTGGTACAGCTAGTTTACTGTATATGAGGAACACTCACCGATATCTCTTTGCCCATGCCGATCTGTGTGAGGTTGGGCTTCATCCCACTGCCCACCTGCCAGATGATAACCTCTGCTGGCTGGTTCTTGTAAGGCCACTCACGTGCATGCAACTCATACCAGATAGTGCTGTAGGGACAGTACAGGGGGAATCAGTTGGAGCGGATGTATGAAATATCCCATGGTTTACTAAATGGAAATGATGGCATTATGCATTTAACTTGGTCACAGATAAATCCCATGGTAGCATACCATGCGGGGTGCCGCGTCTTTTAAAAATATATATATCCAGCACCTGCTCAGAGAGATAGGATGTGTGCATGTAATATTTTCCTATAATGTGGACATTATAAAATAAATACTACAACAGACGTTCACACACAAGCGGTATCACACCAAGTTGAATATCTAAACCTGGATTTCTATACTGTATGTCCGTTGTGGTTGTCAGAATCCACTTAAAAGCTCCAGAAGCACCCACAATGAGTCTGACAGTCAGACCACAAGGTTGCCTTTTTTAAAGAAACAACCCTTTCACTAACTTTATATCAAACCTGATAGATGTATATGATCTGATAAACAGTCCATTAACTCATAATCATAATCATACGTCATCAACATCGTCACAGCATCCTCTCTTATCATTATGACAAGGCATTTTTTCCACTGCCATGTCAACGACCGGGTTTTGAGTAGCATAAAAATAGCATTCGGCCAAGACAGAAAAACACATGGAGAATTGTTGAATATGTAAAACAGCTTCAGGGGTCACCTCTAGGTAACACTAAGGCACCAACAGACCAGCTGGACAGTGGCTACGTCCCAAATGGCACCCTATACCCTTTATTCCCATAGGGCTCTGGTCTATATAGGGAATAGGGTGCCATTTGGGACCCATACAGCGTGTGTGAATGCTGCATCCATCCCCCTCAGACTGATTCAGTGACAGTCCCTCCATATGGGAGGGCATCTGAAAATGCAATTGTGTTAGGAGCCAACAGAGCAGGGTCCAGCCACGCAAAGGCGTCTGTGACGATCACAGAAGAGGAAAAAATACAAATGGAAAGGCAGGCCTGGAGAATGGAGTGTTATAACTAGGATACCAGAGTTGTTCCTGGTCAGGTCAGGTGGCCAGGAAAGACTCCTGGCCTTGGTTATTATAACCATTCCAAACATGATTTGGATGAGATGGATTAGAACCTAAAAAACATCACAGTATGTGTCTTGCTGATGTCAAATCCAAGTTCCCCTTGTGGGATGACGTTTTTTTCAATTCAATTCAATTCAAATAAAATCAGGCGTGAAGGTCCAATGAAAACAAGACAGAGACTCTGGGAAAACCTTCAGAGTAAAGAGGCCCCTAAAACACTCCTCAGAACAAAGAGAAGAGCTACGGGCCCTGGTCAAGAGTACTATACTAAATAGGGAATAAGGTGCCATTTGAGACGTAGCTGTACTCACCCGAAAGCAAAGACATCTGACTGTTTGGAGAAAGGCAGCTTGTCCTCCTCTGTTTCAGGGGAGAGCTGAGAGACTATTTCAGGGGCCAGGTGACACAGCCATCCACTGGGGATTCTCAGTTTGTCCTCTCTACGGCTACAAAAGAGGGGACAGAAAAGAGACAGGACAGTCTGAATTCTGTGATGTGGTGTGTGGTGATCTTTCATATTTATCTCAACGTTTAGGACGGCCATTTTCCTTTTCTAATTGTTCAGGATTTCCAAATGTCATCCCTCCACAGAAGTTGTAGTCAAATGTAAAAAAAAAAATAGTGTTACATTTCTGTGCCATGTAATTTTGATCTAAATACAGAATTACTACTTATAGTTCATTTGGACACTGGTAGACATCTAATGGAGTTAAAGCAGCATTTTGTCTCAAGGTTGAATCTGTCCTTTCCTTCCTCACCCGTTAGTCCAAACGAACCCTGACTGAAAAATCCTGGATGCAATCAAACCCCATTAGAAATTCTAATTCCTTATGACTCAGTCAGACTCTCCTCTCCCTCTCCACTATATTCCAACCTGCCTATCTCCCTCTCTCTCTCTCTTTCTCTCTCCCTCCCTCTCGCTGTCTCTCTCCCTCTAGCATTATGACATTCACAACTACTTCAAAATGCATCCTGAGTGCTCACTCAGATAGATACAGTGGGGAAAAAAAGTATTTAGTCAGCCACCAATTGTGCAAGTTCTCCCACTTAAAAAGATGAGAGAGGCCTGTAATTTTCATCATAGGTACACGTCAACTATGACAGACAAAATGAGAAAAAAAAATCCAGAAAATCACATTGTAGGATTTTTAATGAATTTATTGTTATATGATGGTGGAAAATAAGTATTTGGTCAATAACAAAAGTTTCTCAATACTTTGTTATATACCCTTTGTTGGCAATGACACAGGTCAAACGTTTTCTGTAAGTCTTCACAAGGTTTTCACACACTGTTGCTGGTATTTTGGCCCATTCCTCCATGCAGATCTCCTCTAGAGCAGTGATGTTTTGGGGCTGTCGCTGGGCAACACAGACTTTCAACTCCCTCCAAAGATTTTCTATGGGGTTGAGATCTGGAGACTGGCGAGGCCACTCCAGGACCTTGAAATGCTTCTTACGAAGCCACTCCTTCGTTGCCCGGGCGGTGTGTTTGGGATCATTGTCATGCTGAAAGACCCAGCCACGTTTCATCTTCAATGCCCTTGCTGATGGAAGGAGGGTTTCACTCAAAATCTCACGATACATGGCCCCATTCATTCTTTTCTTTACACGGATCAGTCGTCCTGGTCCCTTTGCAGAAAAACAGCCCCAAAGCATGATGTTTCCACCCCCATGCTTCACAGTAGGTATGGTGTTCTTTGGATGCAACTCAGCATTCTTTGTCCTCCAAACATGACGAGTTGAGTTTTTACCAAAAAGTTATATTTTGGTTTCATCTGACCATATGACATTCTCCCAATCCTCTTCTGGATCATCCAAATGCACTTCAGACGGGCCTGGACATGTACTGGCTTAAGCAGGGGGACACGTCTCGCACTGCAGGATTTGAGTCCCTGGCGGCGTAGTGTGTTACTGATGGTTGGCTTTGTTACTTTGGTCCCAGCTCTCTGCAGGTCATTCACTAGGTCCCCCCGTGTGGTTCTGGGATTTTTGCTCACCGTTCTTGTGATCATTTTGACCCCACGGGGTGAGATCTTGCGTGGAGCCCCAGATCGAGGGAGATTATCAGTGGTCTTGTATGTCTTCCATTTCCTAATAATTGCTCCCACAGTTGATTTCTTCAAACCAAGCTGCTTACCTATTGCAGATTCAGTCTTCCCAGCCTGGTGCAGGTCTACAATTTTGTTTTTGGTGTCCTTTGACAGCTCTTTGGTCTTGGCCATTGTGAAGTTTGGAGTGTGACTGTTTGAGGTTGTGGACAGGTGTCTTTTATACTGATAATAAGTTCAAACAGGTGCCATTAATACAGGTAACGAGTGGAGGACAGAGGAGCCTCTTAAAGAAGAAGTTACAGGTCTGTGAGAGCCAGAAATCTTGCTTGTTTGTAGGTGACCAAATACTTATTTTCCACCATAATTTGCTAATAAATTCATTAAAAATCCTACAATGGGATTTTCTGGAATTTTTTTTCTCAATTTGTCTGTCATAGTTGACGTGTACCTATGATGAAAATTACAGGCCTCTCTCATCTTTTTAGGCAGTGTGCCTGTCTAACACAGCACAGCAGAGAACTGGTGTGGGTATGTCCATCCAATGGTACTGTATCTGTCCAGTCTAGTGCATTAGCATTCATAGTAACACTATCGTCATGATGACAGTTAACAATCCGTTGAGTCATGAAGCTGATGGTTTAATTTAACTCCCAACTGAATCTGATGATATTCTAACTCTAATCTCTATTCTATCTATTCTGTTCTATTCTGGTCTCTATTCTATAATGGGATATACACTGAGTGTACAAAACATTGTGAACACCTGCTCTTTCCATGACATAGACTGACCAGGTGAATCCAGCTGAAAGCTATGATCCCTTATTGATGTCACTTGTTAAATCCACTTCAATCAGTGTAGATGAATGGGAGGAGACAGATTAAAGAAGGATTTTTAAGCCTTGAGACAATTGAGACATGGATTGTGTATGTGTGCCATTCAGACGGTGAATGGGCAAGACAAAATATTTAAGTGCCTTTGAACAGGGTATGGTAGTAGGTGCCAGGCGCACCGGTTTGTGTCAAGAACTCCAACGCTGCTGGGTTTTTCACGCTCAACAGTTTCCCGTGTGTATCAAGAATGGTCCACCACCCAAAGGACATCCAGCCAACTTGACACAACTGTGGGAAGCATTGGAGTCAACATGGGCCAGCATCCCTGTGGAACGCTTTCGACACCTTGTAGAGTCCATGCCCCAACGAATTGAGGCTGTTCTACATTTACATTTTCGTCATTTAGCAGACGCTCTTATCCAGAGCGACTTACAAATTGGTGCATTCACCTTATGATAGCCAGTGGGATAACCACTTTACAATATATATATATATATTTATTTATTTTTGTGGGGGTGGGGTAGGGGTGGGTAGTTCTGAGGGCGAAAGGGAGTGCAACTCAATACTAGGAAGTTGTTCCTACTGTTTTGTACACTCAGTGTATGCAGGAGAATATTCAGGGGCATTATTGTTTGTACAGGTTCTCAATGCTCTCCCCTCCTCTGCAATGGCAAACAGCCATGTTATTCAGATGATAAAGTTCATTGAATTGAACATAATGTTCCTGCTCAGAGTGGGGCGGTAGGTAAATGCTTGTCTTGTCATTCTGTCAGACCTACTAATTAGCTAGCCATTTTGCCGTCCAATTAAAACATTTAGGCAGAAATAAATAAATAAACAACAACACAAACAAGTCGCGGAACTGACTGAGGCTCGAGTGTGGCTACCCACGTCACACCTAGCTATCTGTTCCCAGAAATGTATTTAACTTTGAAAGGAGAGGGTTCTGGGTATTTATCACAATACAAAAGTTCCAATGAGTGTGCAGTAAGAAGCCGGGTGGCGGGTGTACTGTCTAAAAACAGCAACAAAAACATGTTTTGATTATTTTCCTTTTTTTGGCTTTCTCCATCAACCGAGAGACGGCAATAACGTCAAATGATAACCTGATAAACGGTAGGCCCCATTGTGGCCATTGTGTGCATTCATAGAGGCTATTGAAATTCTACACTGCAAGTCAACTAGCACAAGACGAAATACTAAAACAACCATCTCCAGGTTCTCTCTTTGTTCGGCACTGCGGTACCAACAGTTCCTGAAAACCATCCCAACACAATGAGCAGAGTGATTCACAAAGTCTTTACATATCTTAGAATCTTTCGATGTTCTTTTAGAATCCTTAGAATTCTCAGTCTGCCTTTGTCCATAGACACAATGCTCTATGGCTCTGCTTGTGTCTAGTCAATAAGTGGGAGATGTTCACTATACGAAGTATTGATGTCACAGCAAACCTAAAATGGCAGCTAGCAACACCGGGAACGAACAATAGAAAGGATAAGATCTAGGTGCATGTTGCATCATGTCAATGCATTGCATAACTGTCTGTCTACATCAACTCCTCAGCATCTAGTTTGAAAGGGGCTTATGGTTTTAATGAGCTGATACGAATGCCATTATGAAACCATCCATTTTCATTTGACATAAACAGCTATTGTTCATCACCTATACTCTTCCATCCATGGTGATGCAATGCACTCCTCCGCAACCCCAGGGTTAAACTGTGTTGTGCAAACTTGTTGAAAAGTCAGTTATATAAATCAACATATTTCTGATTATAATAATTAATAGTACAAAGCATGTGTAATCCTCTCACAGTCATTAGCTGGAAAGCATCTCACACCTACTGCTAGATATTTTTAATTGATGTCGCAATTAAATAAATACAAAAATCCATTATGACAAATCAAATCCAGTCAATTATAGCAGTTATCTCACCATACATGTCAATCAAAATCTATAGACACAGTAAACTTACTGCATAGAGAACAAAACACCCACACACACACACTAAAGCATGCACGCACACAGACACGCACACAAACACACACATTGAGTTGCTCCATTTCTATATCTAAGATTTATTATGTCCTTGCTGCTTATATCAAATCAAATCAAATTGTATTGGTCACATGCGCCGAATACAACAGGTGCAGACATTACAGTGAAATGCTTACTTACAGCCCTTAACCAACAGTGCATTTATTTTAAACAAAAAAAGTAAGAATAAAACAACAACAAAAAAAGTGTTGAGAAAAAAAAGAGCAGAAGTAAAATAAAGTGACAGTAGGGAGGCTATATATACAGGGGGGTACCGTTGCAGAGTCAATGTGCGGGGGCACCGGCAAGTTGAGGTAGTTGAGGTAATATGTACATGTGGGTAGAGTTATATAGTTTTATGTCTAAGATTGATTAGAATTCCTTGCTGTATGAAAGTTGTGGCTGTTGGCATTTCAGGGAGAAGCCATTTCAGGGAGAAGCCATTTCAGCACAGCGGTTGCAGCCGAAATAGATTTTAATCACACTCAGGGATAATTTTTTAAAAAGAGATTAGCACCGATCCATATAATTTTCTGGCTAATACTGACCAATGAGCCACTAAAGAGTCATCACTTCAATATAATAACTGTCACAACAGTAGGGGTTAATAATGACGCGTTTAGCACTGATGTTTCATTTTTGTTTTCTATGTATCCTTTTTTTAACCAGGAAGTCCCTTGAGATAAAGAATCACTTTTCTGAGCGAGACCTTAGTTGATCCAAATAAATAAATACATTGAGTACAACAGTAGCTACCCACCTGCCGGCTTGCAGAACCCCAGATATGGTGAAAAGTCCAAAGTCGGTGATGACCACTTTGCCGTTGTCGTAGAAGACATTCTTGGACTTCATATCCTTGTGTAGGATCCCCTTGGCGTGGAGATAGCCCATCCCCTTAAAACAATACAAACACAAACAAACAAACAATATAACTCATCAGGGGTCTAGGTTGAGTCACTGTAAAGCATTTTGTGACCAATGTCACAAAAAACCTGACTGAACTTGATTGATTGATCTCAATCCAGCCGCAGTCTCTATGACATGTATTGACCATGCTGTGCTACAGATAATGTTGAATCACTATTCATGATGTTACCTATATAACCATATACACTGAGTATACCAAACATTAGGAACACCTTCTTAATATTTAGTTGCACCCCTCCACCCATTTTGCCCTCAGAACAGCCTCAATTCGTCGGGGCATGGACTCTACAAGGTGTCGAAAGCGTTCCACAGGGATAAAATAAAATAAAAAAATTGGTCATTTTGCAGACGCTCTTATCCAGAGCGACTTACAGGAGCAATTAGGGTTAAGTGCCTTGCTCAAGGGCACGTCGACAGATTTTTCACCTAGTCGGCTCGGGGATTAGAACCAGCGACCTTTCGGTTACTGGTACAACGCTCTTAAACACTAAGCTACCTGCCGCCCCAGGGATGCTGGCCCATGTTGACTCCAATGCTTCCCACAGTTGTGTCAAGTTGGCTGGATGTCACACATACACAATCCATGTCTCAACTATGGTTATTGTGAGTAACCTAATTTATGTTCCTTTAACTCCGCCTTCTAGTGAGTTTATACAAACTGTCATCTCCTACCATTCTGATAGATTGCAGACTGTCAGAAAACGTAATTGTACCTTTAATAATTTGGTTGTTATTCAATTGGTTACCTCTAGGCAGATGCCCCAGGCAATTTTACATGTTAGAGCAATCAATAGCAAAACCTTTCTCGTGAATGACCTCATTACTGAGCGCAAAGTTGATTGCACACTTCTATTATATATTAATACTCTCAGCTGTAAGGACATTTCATTTGGTGACTTTGGGTCTTTTGAGCATCATGCTATACTGTTTAAATGTCAGCCACAAGTGCTGGCCATTTAATTTTATTAAATTTTTTATTTCACCTTTATTTAACCAGGTAAGCCAGTTGAGAACAAGTTCTCATTTACACTGCGACCTGGCCAAGATAAAGCAAAGCAGTGTGATAAAAACAACAACACAGAGTTACATATGGGGTAAACAAAACATAGTCAAAAATACAACAGAAAAAAAATATATATATAGTGTGTGCGAATGTAGTAAATTATGGAGGTAATGCAATAAATAGGCCATAGTGCAATATAATTACAATTTCGTATTAACACTGGAATGATAGATGTGCAAAAGATGATGTGCAAATAGAGTTACTGGGGTGCAAATTAGCAAAATAAATAACAATATGGGGATGAGGTAGTTGGGTGGGCTAATTTCAGAATGGCTGTGTACAGGTGCAGTGATCGGTAAGCTGCTCTGACAACTGATGCTTAAAGTTAGTGAGGGAGATAAGTCTCCAGCTTCAGAGATTTTTGCAGTTCGTTCCAGTCATTGGCAGCAGAGAACTAGAAGGAATGGCGGCTAAAGGAGGTGTTGGCTTTGGGGATGACCAGTGAGATATACCTGCTGGAGCGCAGACTACGGGTGGGTGTTGCTATGGTGACCAGTGAGCGGGGATTTGGCGGGGATTTGCCTAGCAGTGATTTATAGATGACCTGGAGCCAGTGGGTTTGGCGACGAATATGTAGTGAGGGCCAGCCAACAAGAACGTACAGGTCACAATTGTGGGTAGTATATGGGGCTTTGGTGACAAAACAGATGGCACTGTGATAGACTACATCCAATTTTCTGAGTAGAGTGTTGGAGGAAAATTTTGTAAATTACATCGCCGAAGTCAAGGATCGGTAGGATAGTCAGTTTTACGAGGGCATGTTTGGCAGCATGAGTGAAGGGGGCTTTGTTGCGAAATAGGAAGCCGATTCTCGATCTAACTTTTGATTGGAGATGCTTAATGTGAGTCTGGAAGGAGAGTTTACAGTCTAACCAGACACCTAGGTATTTGTAGTTGTCCACATACTCTAGGTCAGACCCGCCGAGAGTAGTGATTCTAGTCGGGTGGGTGGGTGCAAGCAGCGTTCGGTTGAAGAGCATGCATTTAGTTTTACTAGTGTTTAAGAGCAGTTGGAGGCTACGGAAAGGAGTGTTGTATGGGGTTGAAGCTCGTTTGGAGGTTTGTTAACACAGTGTCCAATGAAGGGCCAGATGTATACAAAATGGTGTCGTCCGCATAGAGGTGGATCCGAGCGTCACCAGCAGCAAGAGCGACATCATTGATATACACAGAGAATAGAGTCGGCCCAAGAATTGAACCCTGTGGCACCCTCATAGAGACTGCCAGAGGTCCAGACAACAGGCCCTCCGATTTGACACATTGAACACTATCTGAGAAGTAGTTGGTGAACCAGGCGAGGCAGTCATTTGAGAAACCAAGGCTATTTAGTCTGCCAATAAGAATGCGGTGGTTGACAGAGTCGAAAGCCTTGGCCAGGTCGATGAAGACGGCTGCGCAGTACTGTCTTTTATCGATCGCGGTTATAATATCGTTTAGGACCTTGAGCGTGGCTGAGGTGCACCCATGACCAGCTCGGAAACCGGATTGCATAGCGGAGAAGGTACGGTGGGATTCGAAATGGTCGGTGATCTGTTTGTTAACTTGGCTTTCAAATACTTTCGAAAGGCAGGGCAGGATGGATATAGGTCTGTAACAGTTTGGATCTAGAGTGTCACCCCCTTTGAAGAGGGGGATGACCGCGGCAGCTTTCCAAT